AAAACGATTGCTGTGTGTTGTCGTGGGGGTAACCTTCAATCAACAATGTTTAGCAGGTGTGAATATGTTCGACTCAGCCGTAGACACAATGCTACACAGCGCAATTATATTGCCTAGAAAATTAGTAAAATAAACTGAATTTCGCTTAGGTTCGAGATATAATAAGCATTGGTGGTGGTGGTGGTGGGAGGCTCACAGGGTGATTCAACGATAGGCGGACTAAAGACCAGCCACCGAAAGTATATATATATATATATATATATATATATATATATATATATATGAATAGAGCCCACCCGTAGCTCAGATCGAAGGAGCTAGACAAGAAATCCACCGGCGTAAGTTAAAAACCGCAAAGGGGTGTACGCGATCATGGCATAAACACCCCAAGTGCGAATGGCGGTGGCTGCACGGAATAACGCGAAATTACACCGTACAGAGGAAATATCATACATATAAATATATATATATATGTATGTATGCCAAGGGGGTCATGTAAAAGTGGCCCAGGGCGTAGAGCGCCAACACACAGATGTTAAGGTACAACTTGTATGCTGAATTGCTAACTGTCCAATGGCGCAAATTGCTTTGCCTGCAGTGGTTTGATGGGACACAGACGTCACATGTGTGTCTATGATCATACAGCACACCGATCCGTTCGGCTGTGAGATGTGAAGGTTAGCCAGACACCACAGCCGCAATGAATGCGTCATGGCTCGACCGCATAGCAAGACCTAGGAAACGCATGTTGTTCAGCCATGATAACTGCTCGTGAGCCGGACACCACATAGCCGCACTGAACGCGTGATGCTTCAATCGATCGGTAGTCGGCCTTCACGCGGGTGAAAAGGCAGCGAAAGGGTTTTCTGCGAAGTGGCTAGTGGGGCGCTGTGCTAGCAATTGAGAAAAACAGCCCAAGCCTACGTGAGGAACGGTTGATGAACGCCCCGTATTGCTATCGCTACAAAAGCTGTTATCGCCTTTTGACTGGCTTCCAACAAACACGTAAAATTTTAGAAGATTGCTTTCGCTGCTAAATTGAATGTATATTGTCGGGAGCATATTGCAACATTACAGTGTTGTTCGTCTTACCGTTTCGATCGCGTGTGTGTTACAGCTGAAAATTCACCCTTTATGGGTACACAAAAACGAATACTTGACGTGACAATGCGCTTAGATTTCAGTGTGCTCCGACGCACTGGTGGCACCATTAGACAACACACCAATTTATTCATGAATGCAGCTATTGCCCTCACAGTTAGACAATTGGTAGTTGTACAAATTGCTCATGTCCTCGATGGTGTTTCTCGTGTAAAATAGAGAATATGCATTTACACATTTCCTTACTTATATTTAGATGAAATGTGTCTCATTTCGGTAAATATCAACGAATTAGATGTTCGAATTGCTCCCGTCGTTTTGGTTACGGAGGAGCATTGACCGAATGGTGTTGGCGAGCACTTTCTGCAATGTTTACAACAAAAGCTGTCTTTATTCGTTCACAATGTTCTCTATCAGTTCAGACAGGCTCTTGGGATTCGATCTAATAACTCTGCGCTTCAAGTATCCCCATGGGAAAAATACATGGGATGCAGATCCGGTGATCGCGCAAGACATTCAATCGGTTTTCCGCGACCGATCCAACGTCCACTGAATGTCACTTTAAGGTAGGTATGAACCGATTGCGCCGAATGTTCAGGTGCACCATCGTGCTGCCACCAAACGCTATCCATTAAACCTTCCTACTGTAGCTGCGAAATGACGCTGCTCTGCGATATTCCCATGTACGAGGATGCTAATAAGTGCCAGATATTGGTACTGTTAAACGACAATCTACTAGACACAATGTTGGAAAAATGGTTGGAAGATCGCTTGCTGGCAAGACCTTCTGAAACGTGAGGGCATATTGCATCCGCAGCGCGTTTGCTGCTTCCACGGCGGTTCTTGTTAGGCCACCAGCCGTCCTGAGTGGAGAAAATCCTTGCCACAACTTCATAGGCTATTGACGTGCTTGTACAGCAGTTTGTGGTTAGCACTGAAGGCTTTTGCGCTGTTCTGCTGATAGGCGGCTTTGGCTTCTCTTAACAGTTGAGTGCAGTGGTTACGTTGGACTCCGTAGTTGCCCCAAGTTTCTGATGCTGGAGCTTCTCTGTACCACTCGCCATGCTACGTTGGGTACTGTCGTCCATTTACGAGTTTTGTTCCTAACGAAAGACACTGATTTACACTTATTAAAACTCTTATCTCTGAAGCCTCTGAAACCAGCTGACTGAATTTGTTGACTAACTCGAGCCAGGCGACTTCCGGAGGTTCTTCGGCAAGGAACAAACAAGTTGCAGCGCTGCCGAACTGGGCCAATCGGTCGTACCTTGTGATGGTTCGCACAGTCGCATCGTTCTCATTCCGATACTTCGCATAACTGATGACGGCGTAATCACAGCGACCCAACGGGCAGTCTAAAACAAACACATCAATTATATGCTCCTCGTTGGTGAGCAAAAGATGCAGCGCAAATGGTCTGTTACCAGTTCTGAACCGAGTGGACAAGGTGATGTGATTATGAAGAGGAGCAGTGGTTACGCGACCTTGTAGATCGGCTTTGGATTGTTCTCCGATCGTGTCAGGAGCTTCTACACAACATACGTAAAAATCACCCATGATAATTATGTGAGTGTAATTTCGCTGCATACTACACCTTAATACAGCCGCTAGGTGGCAATCAGTTTCGGGTGTAGAGTTTTTGGGCGATACACCATGACTATAAGGCAAGCGTCCCTGCCTTTTAACTGTAAGCGGCACCAAAGACAGTCGGGAAACTGTGAGTCTGAATCCGCCACGGCTTCGCACTCTAAGTCGCTTCGGTAATACAAGATTAACCTTGCGTTTTTTGTGAGCCTGTCGTTCCGGATCAGCAACATGGCCGGTAGCGAAACTTCATCGTCCGTCATTCCCGTGTGCAACCACGTCTCGGTGATATCAATGACATCATACGTCCCGGAAGCTTGGCGATATTTCAGTTGGACTAGTTTATTAAAAATACCCTGAGCATTCGTATTTAAGCAGGCCAGTTGTCTCGTAAATGACAGTCTGCAAAATTTTGCATCCAAGCAGTAGGCACAGAGTTGCAATTTATGCGGTGGTCAGCGATGATCCCTTAAGGTCACGACATCTAAGTCAAACCGAAAGTTGACACTGCACCCGCTCGTTAGAGTTTTGCAGTGGTCGATATAAGCTACTCACAGAGGGTACAAACCAATTCTGTATAACGATCAAATACTCCCTATTCACGGACACAAGATTCATCTATACAGAATATGAATCTGAGCTGCTAGCTTGTCGCGGATTACTTCACTATCCTGTCACTGTTGTTTTCTCTGTACCGTCTTTGGAGTTTAATGACCCACGCTCGCTGTCCGCTCGCTGCAGCTCGATCTAACCGTCGTTGGTCTTTGTTCACCTCAGGCTACACCAACTGTACAGTGTCCATTATGTGGGCGGAACTGTGGTCAGCTCATATGAAATTTCCTTATTTATTTTTCTGTCCGCTGGTCCAGTTTCAGGTCCGTTCAGCCAGTTGACAGTCCAGCATTCGAGCCCAGGTTCGTCGATGCACAGGTGCTAAGCACTCGTTCTTGTCAGTAGAACTCTGCGTTTACTTCGTACTGGACTGAGCCCTTGGTACCTTGGTCAACTTGGATGATGGGACTTGATTGACTTTCTGTCCACTGGCCTTACCTCGAGGTCCAGCAGTTGGTTCAATGGTTACAGTTGCGGTGTGAGGAGGCTGGATCGATATGAACACTGATAGTCAGGAGGAGCAAGAGTTTATTAGTCTAAAGTAGGGTGGTTACTATGAACACGGCAGAGAAAGTATGATTTTTGTTGTACGATTTATGACTACATCGTTTGCGATGAGTTGATGTGAATGACGCGGCTACAACTACTTACTGTGTCTTTAAGATAAGAAAATAAGTTTTGACATTAGATCACTGACACGTGTGTTTCACTTAGAAGTTGCAGGCTTCCTTAGTGCAAAAAACTAATTGTGGTCGCAGCCATAAATGTTTTCCGCGGAGAATACTCACCAATTAGCAGGAGCAAGAACTGGAAAAGTGGTGCAAGCGAATGTGTTGTCTAGGTTTTCATCATATAATTCGACGGTCCAAATCATGTTTGTTTGCTGAGAACCAAAATGGTATTACTAACATTGAATCTATAACTGTTGTAGAGTCTAGTGGCTCAGTTTTCCAGTCGTCGGCCAATAATCCCCACTTCGCGGACAGAGTCTCAACCCATTTGACGGCAAGTGAAAAGCTAAAGCAAAAAAGAAAATAGTGGATTTGTCTAGCACTGAGGATCACTATAGTTATCTAGGCATTGCCAGAAAGCTTTCCGTGTTTTGTTAGGAATATTTCGGCTTTTTGCCTTTGTCGATAACATCATCCAGCGAGGGTTTTATGAAACAGATTAGCTTGGGAAATCCCAACAATTTGTATTGTTTAAGCATCCATTTTGTAAGATTGGACAACGACACGCTCTCAGGACTTGGACCGCAATGCACGCTAAAGTGACACTTAGCAAGTTCGGTCACTGGAATTATAAGTAAATTGGCGCTAGGGATTGCCTGTTTCAAACTGCGCCCCATGGACTCTTTCATTCTGTTTTCGACTCTTCATTTAGAGATGCTTATTTCTCACTAGGTTTGGGCTACCGTTCAAATACCCCAGAGGAATAGAACAAAAGAACAGTAAATAGGTTGCTGAATCGCTGTTAAGAGCGGATAGCAATTACCACTTGCGTGTACAGCGCTTGGCGTAACTTGTCGTCCAGTGATAGCACAATGTCGGTCTATGGGTAATTGGATAGTGGAGGCCGTACCAATGGAGCAAATTGTTTTGCTTCACCAATTTTTTTTGGATTTGTGTATGTCCTTGCGACGATCTGAATTCTCCGTTTTTCTGTCAAACACTGTGTTACGTCTTATTCCCCTTTACTTACAGTGTATCCACAGAGATATAAAACCAGAGAATATTCTCATCAGCAATACGGACGAGGTGAAACTATGCGATTTCGGGTTCGCGCGGTTCACGAGTAAGCCTTGTTAATTTCAAATTTTGCGCAGTTTTTCTTGTTGGATGTGTATAGGTAGCTGATGGGTTCCAAAAACATCATGCCTACAGTGCGTGGAGCTTGATATAGGTCAACCACATGATATGTCATCTAAAGATTTAGTAGTGTATTTTTCTTGCTTACTCGAATACAACTATCGGCCATGCATAGTACAGTTATATGGAAAGGAAAGTGATCCTACTTGATTTTGGACGAGAACAACTATGGTTGTACACAGGCGGATAGTAGCCAAATATCAGGGAATGCACTAAATTAACTGTCGTCAATTTGGGATGATTACGAGCCATGGTTTTTTTTACAATAATACCTATGCACACCATGGCCACCTGCCCCGTTAGATTAAACTTAATTATCGCTGCCTGAAAAGTGAGAAATCAGTGTCTCATGCCTGGGGTCTTATTGATATATCAGAGTTACCGAAACATGCAAACATTCACATTGCCTCCGTGGCCTGATGTCGATTATCCAGGAGCGCAGCCAACAGTTACCATTCAGATAGTATTCAAATTTAAAAGCCACGCGGTTTCTAACGATAACTTTCCATGCTGTAAGAAAAGAAGTTTAGAGAGTTTAGTTGGATTACCGGTGTTTAAAAGGAACGATCATTTGCAAAGCACTCAAAGGGTGTCCCTTTGTAACGTTTGCCAAAGTGATGCCTGTTGCACAAAGAAGGAGTTATGTTCTTCACCACACTGGGAAACTGCACTGGATTGACTCCAATGTCACATATGGAGCTGGGGCACACCTGTATTTTTATTTCTCCGAAAACTGAATAAGGTTTAGGTCGTATTTATTTGTACATCCGTTGCGTCAGTCTCTTTCACTCACCCGGTAATGAGAAAAAGTAAAACATTGAAGAATAAGATCCTTTCCACCGAAAAGCTACCCGCTTAGTAGCCTAGATGAGGCACTGAAACAACATTGCCAAATGACACACAGCTGTCAAGCGTAACCAAACCAGAGAAAACACACCGGTTCAAGGCAATGAAAATTGAGCAGATTAACCTCCAATCAGATGCGGCCACTGGACACCTGAAACGTTGTTAAATTAAGGAAGAAACCTTAATTTATCTCCAGGATCAATGACGGCTTAACGCTAGTCAGGACAGCGCGATAACCTATGAACAAAAAGTTGCAGTACCGGTGGAGTAAAATGTACAGTGACTAATTCTTGTTTCAGTTGGAGAATGGTAGTTCAATTGTTAGTCAGACCAACTTTTCGTAACCCAGCTAATCTTAGACCGGCTTGGGCGAGGTTGTTATCTCACGCTAATCATCTATCGCATAATTGGAAACTATTGATTTGCCTTGTTCACACGACATGGAAGACCAATGTATGGTTATTCCGTCGTCCAAATACAACTAGAGCTAATGACGTTTCCCACAAGAAACCTACTGACTTTATTTAACTCATTGCAGTCGGATTTCAAGTCAGATAGGCCTAAAAGCAATTGGGGAAACAGTAGACGGCGCACTATTTAAGAGCCCCAAGTAGAAGAAATGTCTGTCGAAAGCATTTCCGGATTAGTAGTTAGCCTATCACGCTCATAATAAATTGAGATGCGCTAACTAAATCTAGCCAAGTCCCTCTACTCATAAGTAGTCAACATTTATCCATCATGATCTTTGAAGTGCTGTGTAACCGCTGCTATTGCTAAGGACACCCTGACAACTGAGGGACAACCATAGGTCCCAATCAGGGAATAGCCTCCATGGCACTGCTGGATGGGTCAAACTAGGTCGCATTTATATTTCAGTCCATTATGTTCAGTTGACGGCCTTCATGGCTCGGTGTCATACTCGGCTGGCTAGTGTTGTAATCAACTATCGGTCCCGCACTCCTTTGCTTGACAAGGACTGAGGGAATGCGCACTACTGACGAATGGGTCCAAAAAGGATGAAACAGCCGTCTGGAGCTTTTCCAGCGTAGTAATGATTTACCCGCCTTGTGAAGCAAATACGCTAAATTAAAACATCTCACCGAATAACTCTACTCACGAGAGATGTGCTAGAGTAAACCAGCAGGGGCAGTTTATCCCACATTGGCATTGATCAGGACACATATGATTACCGAGAGAAGAAACAACGTTTTACCTGTGCATGCCACCACACAAACCATATGTGTGCTAGTGAAGGTTTCAGACGCCCTTCTCCTTGCAGTAATCGCTGCTAGCAATCCGGCCGTACAGCAGCTGAGTATATATGCGTCAGAATGTGATAGAACATGGGACTTATGAGCTTGGTATGGCAAATGTGTTCTCACCAGCTTTTACCCAGTACTGTTAAGCGTATTACTGGCCGCGTCTCAATAAACCACGCTATTGCGGCCCACAGATCATCGTTGCCACTTGTTAAATTGCGCTCTCGAAATACACAATCAGACTGAGTTACCATCAAGTCTCTATTCTCATCGGAATAATAAAATACTATTTATCTGTTACGGAACATTGGCTTCGGGTTGTGGTATAAGCCTCCGCATCCCACACTCCTGGCTGAGCCGCCCACGCTGTCTGAATGGCCCTGGCTGCGACGTTCACGTTGTCCACTCCGCCCACGCTTCGGTTTTTGGACAGCGCAGTCGGTCCGGCTTCCTCATGTTTGGTTTTGCAGCAAGTTTCCGTTCGGCCAAATTTCTCACGGCGTCAGTAAAACGGGTGCCGGACTTAACCACTTGCCACACCCTTCCCCTTATCGGTTCTGTTTTGTCGGGCATTGAAGTGCTGTATCCACTGCCGCTGCGCACCCACTTGCTGTCCTCACCCTCAGTGTCTGTACCATCTGCTTGTCATATCGCTCGCTGACCCTCTGGTTGCTTGTCGGATGCCACAGATGAATTCGGTTTCGGCAATACAAAACATTGCCAAACTTGACTTGGTAGCTTCTCGCTCCTGCGCGAGTTTCTGCGACCCCTCGCCTCCACCGTTCCTTAATTCCAGGAGCCACCTGTATTCATACATTCTCACTAACCCGACCTGGTGATAACTCTTTTGATCCGCGATCATAATAGCCGTTTTGAATGAGCATCGGCTTTTGTAGGTGACCAAGCATCATAGCCGGTGATAGCGGCTCCGGTTGGAGCAGAATTTTGGCTGTAGTTAGCAAAGTTCTCGTTCTGCGGCCAAAGGATCTTTGAACAGAGCTCACCCAAAGTTCCGGAGACGGAATGTTTCCTCGCTTCAGAAGCATGATGTAAGGACCTTCATGTAGCTATTTCACTTTAGTTAGTAATCTCTCGGCATCCTTCACTGCTGCCTGCGCTTTACCGTTGGACTGACTGTAGTACGGGCTAGTATAACAGCGTTCGAATTCTCATTTTATGCTACGCTCGGAATTCCTCTTCAGGAAACAGTGATCTATTATCCGTGACTACTTCGTCGGGTATTCTGTGTTGAGCGAAATGATAGCGCAGCTTGTTCACCCCAGTCTGAGCGTTGCTTGTGGGTAGGGCATCAATCTCAAAATACTCGCTGTAATAGCCTACAGTAAGCAAGTAGTCTTTCCTGTCACGCGTGAATAAGACCACTGCCAGTTTTCCCATGGTCTGTCTGGTATCTCTCGAAGCGCCATTGGCTCCTTCGCCTGGCGAACAAAATGCGTACGACATGTTGTGCAGCTCGACACAATGAAAATGGAAAGTGATTTCATACGGGTAAGGAAGCATTGATTTACAAGTCCTGTTGAGTGGTTTGCTGGGTTAACGAAAACCATCATGACAAGTGCCGATAGTAGTTCTACTGTCAAAATAATTAACTTATTGTTTTTGATTCAGCAGCCCTGCACCCGGTGCGTTTCGATAAATTCAGTAGGCAATAAAATTTAATCCAAGGTATTTCCAGGGAGTAAGGTGGAGAGTAGCGTTAATTAATAAAATGCAAGTGGCGCAGTGCGTCATCCAACTGACTTTTAAACTTGGCTAGCGTGGGTTTCTGAAACAAGAGATTCAGGGAGCGCGTTCCATGGTTGACAGACACAAATGGAAAAGGTGTTTCTACGGCACGCCCGGCGGCTGTACTGTTCTGCCAAGTTAGAGCAGTGGTCCCTAAGTTTGGTATTACTACCGTATTTCATTAAAGAGCAGAACACGTGAGTTAGATTGTGTAAACTCAAATAAGTCATAATCAGTTCGCCTCATAGTCGGCGATATCGCCCGTTGATTACACCCAAAGGTTCCAGCCTCCGCACGTAAGAAAGGTGGCGCATTTCAGTGACGTAATTGGAATTCCGACCTTGAGGTTGGTCCAGTGCAGTAACGTCTTGCTTCATCCATGTCTGCCAGGCTTGGATTGCGTATTCGACGTAGGGGAGAGCAAACGCATTGAGCATCCGTATGAAAACACTGGTGTCTAGTTGTCCGAATGCCCGTCGTAGCAAGCCGACGTGTTGGTCTCCATTTTTCAATGACGAAGAAGATGGCTTGAAACAACTCAAGTTATCCTGAACATGAACGCCAAGGTCGGGTTCGACGGATGACCGTTGCACTACTTGCGTTTCTAGCTTGGAGAAATTGGTACTCCGGTGTCGTATGGAAAGTATTTTGCATTTGTCTAGGTTGAACTGTAACAGTTTTCGGGTGGACTAATCAATTATCGTATTTAAGTCACAATGAAGTAAATTCTGTTCGGTATCCGCCTGAATCCGGCACCATATCTCAATATCGTCAGTAAACAGCAGGAAAATTGAAGCGATTTTCTGCTCAAGGTCGTTGATGATTATAAAAAACAAGCTTGGACGTAGGACTGAGCCTTGGCGCACACCAGACTCGACTGGTATGGGCTCAGTTAGGGTACTCCGGACTCTCACCACTAATTGTCGTTGCGGAAGAAAGTAGGCGATTCAGCTTAAAATATGACCACCGATTCCGCAATATTGAAGCATGGAAAGGAGAATTTGATGATCTAACCGGTCGAATGCCTTAGACAAATCCAGGTTCATCATATCAACTGTCTCTCCAGCGTCAGCTG